TCAGACAGCGCCTGTGCAGATTTCAGGCAAATTGACAGCCGAGTCATCAGGAAAAGGCACCTAAAAACCAGCCAAGCTTTGAACGTATGAGAAGTCAGTCTGAAAACACAACCTGGGAGCACCGCTTCTGGATTTACACTCCCAGACACCCCAAAGCCTGCTTGTGTCCAAGAAATCCTGCTCAGGTAACACCATGCCATGTACAAAGCACCCGGGAGGGGGGACTGCTCCTGCAGCTACAAGCTGAGCACAGCCACCCAACGGTGCCAGGTGACTCCGTTCCCGATCTCCTGACAGCCTCCATCAGCTGCTTGCTCCCTGCGGTCGGGATTTTGTTCTTTTTCTAAAATAAAACCACATCTGGCTGAGAAATGAAGTGATGAGCAGCCCTGACATGGCTCATCCGAGCTGGGGACAAGCTTGGTGGTACTGCCTCTCAGGCCAAAAAACGATGTGCTAGAAAAAGCCATGTGTTAGTGCAGGCTCAGTGGACAAGGTTTGATTTCCATCGATGCCCACAGCTCTCAGATGCGCTGCTGGCTGCACGGGAGCTCGCTGATGCTGTGGTTTTGTCAGCACGCAGGGTACCAGGCACAGATGCCTTCAGGAGATGCTCGTCACCTCAAGGAGCCTCTCCCACGGTGCCTGCCTGCTGAACCTCAGCACCTTCCTTCACCCACTGCAAACAATCTCATTCGGTTCCTCACGCAAAGCCCACGGTGAAAGCTGCCGACCACCAGGTCAGGCACCCAGCGAGCTCCCCGCTCATCCTTACCCAGACCTGGCTGTGCGCTGCCTGTGAAACAGCGACTGCGACACCACAGGGAGCACCTGGTTCCTCTCAGAGCTGGAGAAAAGGACTTGACACAGAGAGACGAGACCGAAAACCCGCTGGGGTTGCCAGCCCTGACCTGTGCTGAAGGAGCCATGCTGCAGGCACCAAGAGTTGCTCGTTTGTGACAGCCAGCTGGGGACACAAAGGTGCGCTGATCAAAGCGGGTGATGGGAACAGTGAGATGTTAGAGAAGCCAGCACACAGCTCAAGGGCTTGTCCTGAGGCTCGTAAGGAGGGCTCTTGTGCACAAACCCAGAACGTGGCTGCGTTCATCACCGCTGGGTTAGGATGCTAACCAGGAGGGCAGCCAGCACACTGCGCTCTGCCAACACCGAACTCCGCGCCCCCAGCACAGCATCGCAGGCAGAGAAAGGCCAACGGGGCCCTGAGCATGAGGTGCTGGTGCCAGCGAAGGGCACGGCCAGCACCCTGCCGAGAGGTGATGGCAAAAGGGGACCAAAGGCAGGGCAGCTTCAGGGCCCGTGGAACCGTCCTGAGCCTGCGAGCTGGCACCAGGCAGCGCCTCCGTCGCTCACCATCACCGCGATCCGTCAGCGGCGGGCAGGGGCTGAGCCTCCCCCATAAAACCACCTCTTGTAGGGAGCAGGCGGGCTCACAGCACACAGCGGCGGTGTTTAAAGCCAGAGGGATCCTTCACGTGCTGTGGGAGGAGAAGCCGATGGCGAGGGAAGGACAAACGCAAGCACAGGGAGCAGACAGCGGGGTGGCGACTGCGGCCCCATCAGCCCGGGCTGCCATGGGGCAGGAGGGCCCGCCCCACATCCCCTCACCACTGCAGCTTCCAGCAGGGCCATAAAGCATGAAAAGCTGGGAGCAGGGCCCTGGGGCACGTATGAGCCCAGCTCAGGGCAGTGAGCAGCCCGGCAGCAATGCTGAATGCACGCGGCGAGTAACCGAGCCACCTGCAGGAAGGCGCAGCCCCACGATGCCAGGGGTGGGCTCCCCGAGGGCCGGTTTCCCCACGGACCTCCAGAAGATGCAGCCAGCAAGGTCAGGGAGCATTTGCTGCTGTTTCCACGCTTCTTTGAGAACCCACTGCCCTTTCTGGTAGGAATTTATTTTGAGAAACCAAACGGGCAGCGCACCACGAAGCGAACCCGCTGCCAGGTAGAGCTGCAGCACCCAGCAGGGGTTACCTGTCCGTCCCGTGAGACAAACCTCTTGGCAAACGCTTGCTGAGGGGATTAAACACTACGAAAAAACAGGAAAGAAAGAAATCTAACCCGCGTCATGGCAGCAGCGACCCTGGATTTGGGGATGTTGCACCAAGCCCGCAGCACACCCGGCGGGCAGAGGGGTGAGGGCTGCTCCCAGCAGCTGCGGCGGGGAACAAACAGGCAGCCCGAACACAAACGCAGGAAGGGAGCGCATTCAGCGGGACAGATTAAAGGTGGCTGCCCGACGGACACACGAGGAACGGAACGAAATAATTTTAGCTCCTTCTGCTCGGCCACAGAATGGCCGTGACAACAATGGCACAGACAGAGCCGCCGCTGCTTGGCTCTGTGCTTTGGGGGGGGTTCAGCAGGCACCGCCGTGTGCCGGCACAGGGATTTGGTGCCCCGCGGTCTGCAGGCATCAAAGACCCACGGCGATGCCACAGCACCACTGGGACGAGACCAGTACAACAGCAGGGGAAGGAGGACACAGCTTCTCTGCAGGCGTTTTGCAGAGTTGTTCCTTCCACGTGTGTCCAGCGCCCAGCCCCGGAGCTCGCTGTGAGCGACCGCACGCTGGGAGCCCTCGCACGTTCCTCGCAGCCCTGAGCTGGGGTGAGGTCGGGGTGGAGGGAGAGCAGCCTCGGTACCGAAGCAACAAGCCCCAAAGATGAACGTTTTCACTGTCATTCACAGATGTTTTGTAGGTGTTTAGCTAGCAGAGAAATATTTTAAAAACCGCCACAGAAATGGGAAGTGAACGCAGTCCGGTGTGAACTAACCCAGGCTCCCGGAGCACATGTGCAGCTCCCAAAATAGCAAGCTCCCGGAGGCAAGAGCCGCCTTTTCTGCATCTTGCACAATACCAAAGTTTCCAGCCGCAGTTTTCGACACAGATGTGTCACCCCGCTCTTCTTTAAGCTACGACATAAGCAGGTTCAAAAGGGATTGTGATTTGGATTCCTGCTCTACCTCGGGAAGCTGCTAACGGCCGAGCTGCGGGTACCTCGGTGGATCTCACAGGGATGCCACCAGTGTGCAGGGCACCCGCGTGTCCAAAATCACCCCAACAGGGGCTCTTTGGAGCAACACCCGCTTATCAGCCCATTATCAGAGCCACCAGAGGCCTCCTCACAAAGCCTTTCCTTGGGATTTGGACCAGGGTGCAGCGCCCAGCGCTGGCTCCCGGCCCCAACACCCCCTGCGTGCCCCCACAGCTTTCCCCACACTGAGGATTTTCGGCTGACCCACGCTCAGTCTTAAAAATTGGTGAGGGCAAAGCCTGGAGCAGTGCTGTACAATAAAGCCTAAATGCACAGGGAAAATAACTTCCCTCAGACGCGCAGCTCTGTTTACACAGAAAGTGGGAACCCTGTTCGAGCCGCGCTCAGTCACATCCTGTGGAAATGGCTTCAGTTGGCAGGAGCAGAGCAGGCTGCAGCTACAGCCCGCGGCTCTCCGAAGCCCCGAGAACATACATTTAAAAATCAATCGCCTTCTGGGAAGGCCTGGGTACACAGCATCCCCGTCTCTGCCCAAATCGTGCCCTCCTGCTCCTGGAGCAGCCTCGGTGCTGCTCCTGGCGCTGAGCACAGCGGTGACACTGGCTGCGTGTTCTGGGACCAAGGAAATGGTGCTCAAGCACATCCCCACTGCTCCTTAAAATCCCCGGGAAAAAACAACCCACCTTCAGCACCAGCAGCTAACCACAGGCACGCAGCTGAGGCTCATCCTTGGGCCTCTCCAACAGCCAGAGAGAAAGCTCCATCCCAGTGCCTGCAGGCTGGACACACTCCGTTTACAAGCGACTCGTGCTGCCACTACGAGCCGGGGAGAATAAACCAGCAGCAGCTCTGCGAAGCAGCACGAGCACCGAGCTGCTGCGCTGTGCCTTTCGCACCCGAGGGCTTTGCAGACAATTCCACCTGCCACCATGGAAAAAATGCTGCTTGGGTGGAGCCGGGCGGCAGACAAACCACCAGGTAGCACCGGAAGGAAAACAGGCGCAGACACCTTCGCCGGGTGAAGCCACCATCGGCTGCGATTCTGCTCCTGCTAGAAGTGTGCATGCAGACACCAAAGCGGTGACAAAGGCACGGCACCGACCCCACAGGCAGCACCTGCAGCTCCTCCTGCACCGCCGCCCAGCCTCGGCAGACCTCGGTGCCCATCCTGCCCGTGCCCAGGTCTCGCTCTCAGCCCTGTGCCAGGACAAGGAGAGCACGGCCAGGTGGGGACCTGCCCTGTTAGACTCTGACCGAGGAGAGCTTCAATAATTAATGTGAGTTTCCATCCCCACACTTGATGGACACCTTTATGAAGTCTCCCAAGCTCAAGGATGGTCAGCCCTGCCTAGCTCTTCTTCTCTGTGCCAGAGAAGTGTTCTGACTGCCCAGTGGCACCCAGCTGTGTGCCCAGGCCCTGCTGCAAGGAGGTCTTTACGAGGCACAAAAACATCAAGAAGATGGGGAAGAGGGAAAAAACCAACAGCAGCCACCGGGTGTGCAGGAGGGCAGGTGCCGCTCCTTTCCCTTCCACCCCCAGCTCTCCGGGCGTGCTTCAGGAGCACAACCGCCCCAGATCCCCCCTGCGAGGTGCCACCACCACAGCCACAGCGAGGCGGGCTCCCTCTGAGGCCATTTATCGGGGCAGGGAGCTGCAGCGGGGCAGCCTGACAGGGCCCCCCCGGGGGGCACGGCCTGAGGGGGGGGCAGCAACGGGCGTGAGGAAAAGGAGGGCGCGATGGTGGCTGGGGGCACGGGGAACACCCCCAGCCCCTCACCGCCCCTCAGCCGAGCTCCAACCCGGGGCGGTGCCGCTGATACTGAGGGAGGGGGGGGGGGGCGGCAGCGCCTCAGGCCTGAGGCGATTTGGGGGCGCCCCCAGCACCGGGCAGGCCCCGCGCTGCCCCCCCCCAACCCCCCCCCCGCTCCACCTCCGTCCCTCCCGGCTCCCGGTAGCCCCAGGACGCCGGGGCCGAGCCTCACCTGCGGCCTCAGGGCAGCCGGGGCCGTGCCGGCCGCGTCGCCCCGGTGACGGCTCCCGCTCCCCCCGCCGCCGCCGCCGCCATTTTCCCTCCCCGCCGCGGCCGCCGCCGCCGCCGCCGCCGCCGCCGCTCCGGCCGCGGCCGAGCGCGCACTGCGCATGCGCCGCCCCCCAGCATCGCGTCATGTGATTGGGGAGGGGAAAAAGGCGGGGAGGGGGGACGTGGGGGGCGCCATGTTGGGAAGGTCACGGCGGCCGCTGTGGTTATAAGGGCGCGGGGATCGGTGTGGCGCAGGGGCGCCGCCATCTTGGGAAGGTCGCGGGGTGGGGCGGGTTCCTGCCCGCCCTGCTGAGCCCCGCAGGGAGCCGCGGCCCGGCCGCCGCCCGCTGCATCGACACGGGGCTGTGCGGTGCTCGGAGCGGGGGGCTGCCTGGGGGGGGCTGCAGGCACCGGGGGGACACGGCTCCATGGCACCACAGTGATACAGCATCATGGCACCACAGCACTGTGACACCACAGCCCCACAGCCCTATGGTACCACAGCCCTATAGTACCACAGCTCCACAACACTGCAACTCCACAACCCCACAGTCCCATGGCCCCACAGCCCTACAGCACCACAATCCCACAGCTCTACAACTCTACAGCCCCACAGCCCCACAGCCTTACAGCCCCATGGCCCCACAGCTCCACAATACTGCAACTCCACACCCTTACAGAGCTCTGCAACTCCATAGCCCTACAATCCCACAGCCTCACAGCCCTACAGCTCCACAGTTCCACAGTCCCACGGCCCCACAACACCACAGCCCCACGGCCTTACAGCCCCACAGTTTTGCAGCACCACAGCCCTATAGCACCACAGTCCCAGAGCATCATGACACCACAGCACCGTGACACCACAGCCCCACAGCCCTATGGTACCACAGTCCCACAGCTCCACAACACTGCTACTCCACAGCCCCACAGCCTTACAGGGCTCTATAACTCCACAGCCCTCCAGCTCCACAGCCCCACAGCCCTACAGCACCACAATCCCACAGCTCTACAACTCTACAGCCCCACAACCTTACAGCCCCATGGCCCCACAGCTCCACTACACTACAACTCCACAGCCCTACAACCCCACAGCCTCACAGCCCTACAGCTCCACAGTCCCACGGCCCCACAGCTCTACAGCCCCACAACACCACAGCCCCACAGCCTTACAGCCCCACAGTTTTGCAGCACCACAGCCCTACAGCACCACAGTCCCATGGCCCTACAGCCCCACAGTCCCACAGCTCTACAGTGCCACAGCCCCACAGCTCCACAACACTGCAACTCCACAGCCTTACAGAGCTCTACAACTCCACAGCCCTACAGCCCCACAGCCTCACAGCCCTACAGCTCCACAGTTCCACAGCCCCACAGCCCTACAGCACTACAGTCCCATGGCCCCACAGCTCTACAGCCCCATGGCCCTATAGCACCACAGTCCCATGGCTCCACAGCCTTATAGAGCTCTACAACTCCACAGCCCTACAACCCCACAGCCTCACAGCCCTACAGCTCCACAGTCCCATGGCCCCACAGCTCTACAGCACCACAGCTCCGCAACTCTACAGCCCCACAGCACCGCAGCCCCACAGCACCACGGGGTGGCTGAGGCTGGAGGGGCACCTCTGAAGATGGCCCAGCCCAGCCCGCCGCCGAGCAGGATACGTGTAGGCACAGACAAGAAACCCAGTCAGCACGGGTGTGGGATGACATTGCCAAAAGTCCCTTAGTGCCTGCGTGAGGCCTTGGTTCAGGGCTGCTCTCGGTTCCCATGGGGGTGGCTCAAGGATGGCTGCTCCGTGGCCTCGGTGCTCCCACACAGCCCTGGTTTTGTGAGGCTGAGCCCAGGCAGGGCTCGGGAGCAGCTCTGCAAACCCCTCGGCTGCTCGAGCCGAACGTGGCAAGTGGCAAAGTGCTGCAATCCTCGCTTGGGGTTGAAGTGCTGCGTGATGTTTTTTAAGAGAAAATGAGCTCTGGCTTTTAACTGAGAGGCAGCAGTGCCTGAAGTGCCTCAGTGGCTCTTGGAAATGGTACTTCAGTTGTTTAGGATAGTGCTGCTCGTCACTGGGTCGGGGATAATGAGCACTTTAGGGGCTGGAACCAGGCAGGGGGCTGACGAGGTGGGATTACTGTGAGGGCAAAGCCAGCAGGACGGGGGCATGTTCGAGAGCAACGCTGCCGGAGCTCCGAACGTGCTGCCTGCAAGCCAGCGCTAAGCCAACAATGCTGGGCACCGGCTGCTCCAGAGCACAGTTCCTGTTTCCTTCTGGAAAAAGCCAGAGGATGGGTAGGGACAGCCCGAGGCTGCACCCTTTCCTCCCGTCCTCACACAGCCTCCGTGTCGCCTGCGGGGACCCTGGGCCTGTCCCCATCCTGTCCCCACCCAGCGACGAGCGCTGCTGTGGTGCTGAACACCCCACAAACCCCACCACAGCTCGCATGTGGGTTCACAGCATCACAAACCCCACAAAACCACCCGGAGGATGCCCTTGCTGCCCTTTGGGCTTGCCAGGGCAGGGGAAGGCCGGCGAGGGGCTGGCAGGGCTGCTGGCAGGAGGCAGGGCTCAGCGCAGGGCTGGCGTGAGTATTTCTCTGCTTTTAGCTGCAGTTTTTTAAGAAGCCGCTCGCCATCTGCTGGCAAAATGCAGCTCGAGAATGGGGTGTCCTTGGAGTTCTGGGGAAGAGTTCCAGATTTGGGGTAGAAAGTTTCTCAGCAGACCCGTCCCCAGCCACCTTTGTGTCATCCCCCAGAGCAGTACGGCGGTGTGCCGAGCAGCCCGGCTACAGGAACAATATGATCAATCAGCTGGTTCTACTTTTTTAGGGGAAACCCCAAAGGGTTTGAGCTGAAGTTACCCCACCCGCCACGTCTAAGAGCAGCAAGCACCCAGGACGTGGATGTAACATGATAAATAAGTACGACTGGAAGATGCCACAGGCCCTCGGGTGAGTTTCTGTCCGTGCAGATGAACTCTTAATGATTAAGGCTGCTATGGGCTGCGGTTCCCCCATAGAGCCGCCGGCACGACTCGTGGCCTTGTGGTCCTTTGGGTGTAGGGCGAGTGCTGGGGGATCACCCCGTGCCTCCCCCAGCCCCCTCCTTCCCTCCTGGCTTTGTGGGACAGATCTGCTGAACATCGGGTTGGTGTTTGATCGGGGGGCGCAGCCACGGGCTGTGGGGGCGACATATGTGCTGAGTCAGTGACAGCCGTTCAGCAGTGGGTGCCCCTGTCCCATCCCATCCCATCCTGATCCCAATCCCCAACCCATCCCCATCCCATCCCAATACCAATTCTGATCCCGATCCCAGTCCCCATCCCAACCCTATCCCAATACCAATCCCATCCCAACCCCATCCCCATCCCAATCCCATCCCATCACAATTCCAATCCCGATCCCAATACCCAACCCATCCTCATCCCCACCCTCATCCCAAGCCCAAGACAGATCCCCTTCACAATCCCAAGACAGATCCCAATTCCCATCCCCATCCCAACCCCATCCCAATCCCCATCCTAATCCCAGTCCCAATCCCAATCCTGATCCCCATCCCATCCCCATCCTAATCCTGATCCCAATCCCCAACCCATCCCCATCCCTTCACAATCCCAAACCAGATCCCAATCCCCATTTTGATCCCAATCCCAATCCCAATCCCCATCCTATCCGTCCCAATCCTAATCCCAACAATCCCCATCCCCATCCCCATCCCATCCCCATCCCAATACCCAACCCATCCCCATTCCAAGCCTATTCCTTCACAATCCCAAAACAAATTCCAGTCCCCATCCCATCCCAATCCCGATCCCAGTCCCCATCCCAACCCCATCCCAATACCAATCCCCATTCCCATCCTCATCCCAATCCCATCCCACAGAATCACAGAATATCCCGAGTTGGAAGGGACCCACAAGGATCATCGAGCCCAACTCCCGGCACCACACAGGTCCCAATCCCAATCTCAACCCCAACCCCAACCCCAACCCCAATCCCAATCCTGATCCCAATACCCAACCCATCCCCATCCCAAAACCATCCCTTCACAATCCCAAGACAGATCCCAATCCCCATCCCAACCCCACCCCATGCCTATCCCCATCCCCATCCCCATCCCCATCCCCATCCCCATCCCCATCCCCATCCCCATCTAATCCCCATTCCCATCCCTATCCCCACCCCAGTCCCGATCGCAATCCCCATCCCAATCCAAATCCATATCCGAATCTGGATCCCAATCCCATCCCCATTCCCATCCCAACACAAACCCCAATCCCAACCCCCATCCCCATCCCAACCCCAATCCCAACCCCAGTCCCAATCCCAATCCCAATCCCCATCCCCATCCCAACCCCAATCCCAACCCCAGTCCCAATCCCAATCCCCATCCCCATCCCCATCCCAACCCCAATCCCATCCCCATCCCAACCCCAATCCCAATCCCAATCCCAATCCCAATCCCAATCCCCATCCCCATCCCCATCCCCATCCCCATCCCCACCCCATCCCAACCCCAATCCCATCCCCATCCCACCCCCACCCCACCCCACTCCCGCTCCTCCCGCCCGCCAGGGGGCGCGCGGTCCCCTCCCCGCACGTGGCCTCCCTCCCCCTCCCACCGCGCACGCGCGGCTCCCCCCTCCCCTCTCCCCTCTCCCCAGCAGCAGCGCGCGCGGGCGTTGCGCATGCGCGGTGCCGCCTGCGTGTGGGGAGGGGGGGAGGAGGAGGAGGAGGAGGAGGAGGGAGGGAGGCGGCGCGCGCATGCGCCCTGCTCGCTGTGGCGGCGCTGAGGGGGGGGCGCTAAAATGGAGGACGAGGAGGTGGCCGAGAGCTGGGAGGAGGCGGCCGACAGCGGGGTGAGAGCGCGGGGGAGGCTCGGGAACAACCGGGGGGCTGCGGCGGGGCTGGGGGGAGCGGCTGGGGGGCGGCGGAGGGCAGGGGAGCGGCCCCCGGCCCCGCGCGGCCGCCCCCTCAGGGAGCTGGGGGGGGCCCTGGGGGCCGCTCCCGGCCTGGGGCCGCGCTCCCGGCCCTCAGGGGGACCCCCCCGCGGTTTATTCCCCTCAGGGTCCCCTCACGGCGCTCGCCAGGCTGCTGGGGGAGCCGCCGCCACGCCTGCTGCGGT